GGAGAAGGGAATGGGGAGTTACACACAAAAATATTAATTTGGAATCCCTTGGACTTCACTGAAGTGGTTCTTCATGTTTCCTTTCTCGTTTTAAGAATTGTTCTCAAAAGCATAATGTAGTCTCCTTGGGTTGACATATTGCTGAGATAGATTATATGAAATTCAATGTTTCAATAGTATAGGCCCTGGGGTGGGGTGACACATTGCTGATCCTCCTTACAGGTGAGACATGGCATTTGAAAGGAGCCAGGTAACTTATCCAAAGCATCTTCTGCTCAGATTTCTGGCTGTTTCCTTCCTCTGGCTGAGGAACAATGCAAAGCCCCAGTGGTGCCTTTGGTGCGCAGTGCAGTTCTGACTGAGATCTTACGGTGACGTAAGCCAAGATACTTAGAAAGCATTTTCCTCCCCTGCTGACTAATTTCATCCTGATTAAAATCTGCAGTTCTGTTCCTCCATCTCTAATGGTGCTTCTTAAGATTTAAACACATATGCGTGGTAAGTGCTGGATCTTGGCTATTGTTTTTTCAGACTTGTGCATTTTTTAACCATCCCTCAGTCCTGAGCACAGCAAAGAGCTCTGGTGGGGTGGTCAAAGCATCAGCTGATGGACCAGCAGAGCCAAATTCAAGTATTAACTACTCCACTTGATAGCAAATTCCTTTACCTCTTTGATGGGTATGAGGCCTGACAATCCCATAGGGATGTGAGGACATGAAATAGCATGAGGATGTGCTTGGCAAACTGCTAAGCATTAAAAATGTAAAGTATATAAGAGCAAGAATCAGAGAGAGGAGTAGAAAGAGAACGATTCTGAGAAGGAGGCTTAAGATGGGCTTCAGGTCACATCTATATTCCCAGTCTGCTTTGTATAAAAGTTCAGACAAGGCTGTGCCCTATCTTCTAAGAGTAGAATAAGAAGAGATGTCAAACACTTTCCTGACCTCCACATTTCCTCATTTCCCTCCCTATAAAATATCTGGGTAACAAAACTGACTTTGCTCTTAGAAAAGGGCCTGGGAAGATAAATAGGCCAGTTCTAAGAGAGGATGAAGAAGACAAAACAGCTCTCATGATTGAGGTTCACAACATGTTAAAGATGGAGAGACATGAAACTAGCCAAATATTGTAAGTGGTATCTGATTGGGGGTGGGGGAAAACATGCTATAAAAAGGAGCCTGATAGCTCCCTACTATAGGCCTGGAGGTTTACAGTCAAGGGGGCCATATAAGATCCTCTACTGCCAATCAGAGCCAGTGGGCTGGAAGAAGGCAGGTCTCCTTGCTCTCAAGTGCTCCACCCTCCCACTCACTAGCATTTATGTGCCTACTAGAACACGTTTAGTTTGCTTTAATTATTAGTGGGTCTCGTTCTGGCTACATTAGAGCATCTTGTCCTTAAAGGACACTCACATAGAAAATAGTTTTACAGGTCCTCCTCCCACCCCCACAAAAAAAAATTCCAAATTGTAGAAAAACCCAATATTGCTTTGGTTAACTAGTGCTGCTCTGACGATAATATACCACAAATGGGATGGCCTTAACAAACAGGAGTTTCTTCTTACAATTTGGAGTCTTTAAGTCCGAGTTTAAAGTGCCAGGCCCTAGGGACTGGGTGAAAGCCCCTCCACCTTGGGCTTCAGCTTTGCCTCTTATTCTCAGCCCAATGAAGCTAGAGGCATCTCTTCACTCAGACAGCTACTGGCTGCTGAGGCTAACAAGCCCAAGGTTGACAAATAAAATGGCACAGTCCTGATGTTACCAAACCACATGGCAGGCCATTAATTCAAGTCCATCGTAAGTCCCAAAGTTGGCAGAGCATGGCAGGCTGCTGAACAACGACATGGCTACATGCAGGGTCCGAGCGTGCCATAAGCTAGAGACTATCCCCAAGGCTTCTCAGGAAGCAGACCACATCCCAAAGCAGCTATTCAGCTGCTTGTGGTAGATCCCAACATGGAGTTGATTGCCAGTGTAATCATGGGGAATAACTACCACCAGCTGCCCAGCCACTCAACCAGGCCCAGCCAAGTTGACACACAAACATAACTACCACAGATATTTTTTAGCCATAGCTCCCTATGAGTGATTGGCAGTAACTGGGTTATTTTCTGTTTTAGATTCATTCTGTTAGCACCTACCCCTACCTCCCATTAACACACTGGTTTTTGGCCCAGAATGTGCCAACTCACCTCTGCCCAGCCCTTCCCCAAGAAGCTGTATAGGCTCTCTCACATGAATTTAGAACTTCTGCAATGTCTTTTGTTGCCACATACACCAGCTATATGATCAATTTTCCCTCTAGGAGTGTGGGTTGGAGCCTTTGGGGAGATAGAAGACAGAGGTAACTTACAAAATTGGGCGAGACTGGAAGTCTTCCTGGTTCATCCTCTCAGACTGGCGGATCTTCAGGATCTCAGTGTAGCTCAGATTCTGCAGTTTGCACTTGAACTGGTCTAGGGAGCTAGGCTTGGTTGTAAGAGCTCTCATAACCTGCTCCTTCACCACCTGCATTACCTGTAGATGGAAGGAAGACCATCAGTTTTTGTGAGGCTGACGATGGCCATTCAGAAAAGACTTTCCAATGTGAATGGTGCCCTACCTGGACACTCTCAGGCTAAACCTTGAGCATGCTCTTCTAAAGAGTAAACTTCCATTCTTCTCCTGTGCAATTGGAACCACAGGGAGAGAAATGGATTGACGGACTTGGAATTGGGGTGTGTTAGAGGTGTGCTCCATTTGTTGGATACAGTATGTGGCTGCTGCTGAAGCAACACTGTAAACAGTGCAAACTCAAGAGTCAGGAATGAAAGAAGGCCAAGGGACAGCTAGAAGCCTACATATTAATTATTTTTATTAGGAAAAAAAATCACTGAGACAATTAACTGCGGAAGCTGGGTTGGCACCAGTTGAAATGACTGTGAACAGATACCCACACATGCTTCTACCAAACTACTTTTCCCATGGAGTTAGGTCCAGTAAGTTCATACAAATTATACATTCAGAAATGTTTATGCAGTATTGTCTCTTTGAGGAAGGTGTTTTTTTAAAGGAGGTTTAATAAATGAATACTGATATATTCCATGGGATGCTTCAAGAAAAAAGAAGACAGGTCAAGCCCAGAAGAAGACAATTAACCATTACTACTACTACTACTTTTTTTTTCTTCTGATTTTCATCAGAAAATACAGAGCAAGAAAAGATCAGAGAGCACAGAGCACAGGGGCATCCAAAGGGCTAGCTGTAATTTTGTTACTTCTATTTTCACCTTCTATTACAGATAGGAGCAACAGTTGTTTCTGTTTTTAAGGTACCTAGGAGCTCTGGTAGCATAGTGCCTAAGGCACTTGACTGCTAACCAGAAGGCTGGCGGTTCAAACCCACCAGCCACTCCTTGGAAGGAAGGTTGGGCAATCCTACTTCCGTGTAGTGATACTGCCTCGGAAACCCAAGGAGGGGTCGCTATGAGTCGGGGCTGACTCGATGGCAAATAACAACAACAACAGTACACACCAAAAGAAGCCCAGGTATTATAGTGGTTAAAGTGCTTAGCTGTTACTCAAAAGGTCAAAAGTTTGAATCCACCAGCCCTTCTGTGGGAGAAAGATGTGGCAGTCTGCTTCTGTAAAGATTTCTGCCTGGGAAACCCTATTGGGCAGTTCTAGTCTCTCCTCTAGGGTCATTATGAGTTAGACCTGACTCAATGGCACTTTTTTTTTTTTTAAACTAATGTGCCAGATGTTTTACATATTGTTGTTGTTGTTATGTGCTGTTGAGTCAGACCCGACTCATAGCGACACCTCCTTGGGTTTTCAAGGCAGTATCACTATGGAAGTAGACTGCCCCATCTTCCTTCCGAGGAGTGGCTAGTGGGTTTGAACCGCCAGGCTTCTAGTTAGCAGTCAAGTGCTTTAGGCACTATGCTATATGTTCTCTCTTTATCCATTCAAACCTTTGAAGTAGATATTATCCCTATCTCCACTTTACAAATGAGCAAAAAGTCTGTGAAATATTATGTAACATGTTCCAAGTCATACATCTGTTGGAACATAGCAGAGCGGGGATTTGAACCCCAAATTTTAAACAATCTACTATACTGCCTCCTATGCCACCATTCGTGCTGTCATCTGATAACTTAAAAACAAAACAAAACCACATATGTGCCTCTATTGTATGCTGGATTCCACTTTGTTGTTAATCATCTAATTTAATTCACCTTTCAACAGAGTAGAGTAAGGGTTATTACTACTCTTTTACAGATAATGAAACTAAGACAGAGAAAGGACTGATGACTTGTCCAAGGTCATGTATACCTACTTGAGTTCTAAGACACTCATTATGATGCTTGATTTTATGTGTCAACTTGGATTAAGTTATAATCCCCAGTAGTTTGACCAAACACTAGTCTACTTGATGTTATGAAGTAGATACATGTGATTAAAACACCTGGCCTTGGGTAGAGCAGACTATCTTCCATAATATAGTCCAATGCAATGTAATATAATCACCTTCCATAATGTAACTTAATGAAATGTAATCAATTGACCAGTTGAAAAGGTAGTTTCCCTATAGTATGTTCTGCCTCCAGACTATAAATAGACATTTGGGTAGAACTCTTTCATCATTTTTCACTCTGCACTCTTCTTGTCACCTGACCTATATATCTTGGGATGTAAGCCTGTGGGATTCTCCAGTTCAAATGACCCTCCAATTATGTGACTCAAGAGGTATTTCCAGCCTTTCTCTTCAATCACCTGAGGCCAATTCCTTTAAGTAAATCTCTCCCTGTGTGTGTGTGTGTGTGTGTGTGTGTTTATTTCTATTTCATGCTGAATAACCCTAAAACACTCAATAGCCCAGTAAAAAGGATCCAGCATAGACCTGACGCTGTATAGGCCTAGGGTACCGCTGATCCTTTATTATTATGACTGCAATCCCAATATTCGCCATATGGCTTCTATTCATTTGTTCATTCAATAATTCCTACCTACTAGGTACTCAATAATTGTCACTGACTAATCTCACTAAGATGCCATTGTTATGAAACATTATTGTAATAGACATAAAAATTTTACAGCATGGGAAAGACTAGCAGACACAGACTTTGGAATCTGTCTGATTGCTAGGTAATGGGAAACATTTCACAGCCTCAATAAATATCAGGAATCTGAAACATCCTCCACTTGACATCTTCTTGCACTTGCAGAGCTCTGTTCAATAGCACTGCCCCTCTTTGGGGGTGCAGACTGCTGAGAAACGTGCTTAGGTTTCTTTCTCCAAGTGTGTATCTTTCTGGGCAGCTGTCCTATCCATATCAGGGCCTAGTCAGGATCTTCTGAGGTCCAGAGGACATTCAGAGGAAGGAGAATGGGTGGAAAGTGAATCTTCCTAGGCAGCCAAACCAGTTGGCTTTCAGAGAAAGCTGAGAAGTGCCCATCAGGTCTCAGGGAGTGCCCATCAGGGACCCTGATGCTCTGACTTGGGGGAGTAGGTATCCTCATTCTTTAGCTGTCAGTACATCCATCCCTTGCAGTGTACCATACTCTGCATCAACTGTATGCCCAGGGGTCTCCCATCAACCACATTTCCCTTTACCAAATGAAAATGGCTGATCAGAGGCTAAGATGACCAATAGGTGGCTGGAAGAAAAACAAATCCATCTACTTTCAACTGGGAGCAAGACTCTTTTTTCTTACATGCTTCTGCGTTTTAGGAATCCAAGTCCACAGCAAGAACACTCACTATTAGGTGACATATTTGCATCTTCATAGGGGTTTTCTGAAAGGTGATATTTTATCTCACAAACCCATACAAACACACACACACAATAACACAGGCTAATGGTGGGAATCCTAGGAAATCTCAGAAGAAAACAGGGGCAGACAGATCTACTCTACTCACACATGGATCTCTGCCTTATCCACTGTCCTCAGAGGACCTGCCCACCCCATCTGCCCTGTGAAGGAATGATTGCTGGCAAATGTATGCTAGACCTCAGATTCATGGGAGTTTCTAAGGCCATGGCTGGGCTGCTCCTCGCAATCTAATTCATTATCGTTGTTGTTGTTGTTATGTGCCGTGGAGTCAGACCCGACTCATAGCGACCCCTCCTTGGGTTTCCGAGGCAGCATCACTACGGAAGTAGATTGCCTTCTGGTTAACAGTCAAGTGCCTTAGGCACTATGCCACCAGAGCTCCTTAACTCATTATTAGTTTACCATAAGTCAGGCTATATTGATAGGAGCCATTAGCAAATATTTGCCTGGAAAATGTTACTTATGAAGTCAATACAACAAATGTACTGGGAACCACCAAGTGTCTGCAATATGCTGGGAACTAGGAATTCAAAGATGAGTAAAATGATTCCTTGCCTTCTTGGAACTAATGGTCTCTAGAGAGATAACTACAGCCAGAGGTCATTACAGCAGAAGTATGAAATTGATAGAGAAGACAGACTTACAGACTTTGTTGGCAGGTGGGGAGATATTTTAGAGAAGACATTTCATATGTGCTTTGAAGGAAGAGTGGGTATTTGATGGTGTGGAAATAGATGAGTAACATGAACACCACCACACATTAGCTACTTTGAACCTGGCTTTATCTGAGTTAGAACCAATTATGTAAGCATCTTTATATGCTCCTAGCATAATGACATAAAGGAAAATTTCCAGTTGACTTTCCACTTCGTCTGCTTCTTTTTCTCTTAGACAAAATGCTAAATTTGAGATGCTTGACAAATTTTGAAACTGTGACCATCTTACATTATGTGGTTAGATTTAGTCAAAGCTGAATTACAATATGTCAGGGCACTGCAAGAGCTACCCCATTTCCCACTTAGACATATTAGTTGAAGTAAGGGGACAATTATTGTTTCCCAACATTATTTGACTTGTGATGGGAGGTAGGACATGTGAAAGAGGCAGAGATATAGCAATTGTTGCTGTTTGTTACTGTGTGCCATCAAGTCCATCCCAATTTTTAAGAAAAATAATGTGGTGGTTAAGTTTGTGTGTCAACTTGGCTGGGCCTGGTTGAGTGGCTGGGCAGCTGGATATAGTATTCCCCATGATGAGACTGGTAATCAACTTCATGGTAGAATCTACTGTGAGCAGCTGAGTAGCTACTTTGGGTATGCGGTCTGCTTCTAGTATATAAGAAACAGCTTTGGGAATGGTCTCCAGCTTATGGCACGCTTGAACCCTGCATGTAGCCTGAATGTATTGCTGTTCAGCAGTCTGCCACGCACTGCCAACCTTGGGCTTTCAATGGACTTGAATTAATGGCCTGCCATATGGTTTGATAATATCAGGATTGTGCCATTTTATTTGTCAACCTTGGGCTTGTTAGCTTCAGCAGCCAGTAGCTGCCTGAGTGAAGAGATGCCTCTAGCTTCAGTGGGTCGGGAGCAAGAGGCAGAGCTGAAGCCCAAGGTCGAGGGGCTTTGATGCAACCCATAGAGCCTGGCACTTTGAACATGGACTTAAACCCTCCAAATTGTAAGACTAAACTCCTAGTTG